ATTCATGTGATGAAGTCGTTTAAAATATCAAAGCTTCATACAATCTTCACGGTAGTAAAATAGTACATTCTGCAAATTGGTTGCTATGCGTTGAGAAACTAAAGACGGGAATAAACAAAGCAGAAGTAAAACTAGTCACAGCCTAAGCGATTGTACGAAACTGGCTCTAACAACACGCGAAGTGAAAAGCAAACCCAACTGAGTACGTGCCGAACAAAGCCGTAGGTGCATAAAACTAGCTAAACTCAACACAGGTACAGTCACTCATAAAATGCGTCTAGAACCGGTTAAGGTTTCTGTCCGAATTATCGACTATCATCCTACGTTTACTCCGGCATGCAGTTCAAAGTCAAATTCAAAGTATATTTATTCAATATAGGCCTAACTTAAGCTCTTATTGAACGTCAACAAAAATCTACCACCGGTTCACTAAACTAGACCTGCACAGAGAAGAACCGGCAAGAAACTCTGCGGTCTTGTTCTTTTTGTTATATATATTTTTTTTAATGCAATTATACACACTTATTTGGGTATAAATTCAGCAGCAGCCAGGGGACTTGCAAGTGCAGAGCAAGAGTCATTTCCAAACATCCTTGTCCTCTATGTATTCTTGGATATTATAGTAGGCCCTTGCCATTAAGGTAGCTTTTACAAATTGTTTGAAATTGTTTATACTTAGTTGTTTGTGGATGTCACCTATTTTATTATAAAAGAGTTGCTAAGTCATGGGCTACGGCACCAGGGTGGGTTCGATTCGGTGTGTTCGCTTACGGTGGTAGGGCCACGTAGCATGCTGATGCACGAATGGGCATACCTGTCCGGGTACCACGACCTCACAGAAAATTGGCGTGAAGTGGAAGTTTCGTCTGGTGAGTGAAGTAGCCGTGGTCCACTATATTAAAAGGTAGCAACTTATCTGCAATCCTACGGGTATGGTGCGAATGTTAATAGGCGACGGTTATCACTTAAAATCAGGTAGACTGCCAGCTCCATTGCCACCTTCTCACATAAAAAAAAGTACAAACGATTTTATCCTCATGCGATGAAAGAGTTCGTGACTGTACATAGACACATAGACGCCTGGCTCGACTGCGTTCGCCGTTTACCTGTTTGCGGCTTCTCGGCTGTTCACCGTTAAAGGGATCGCGCCGTCGCGTCGGGGCTGTAGCCAGAGAGCCGATACAAAATCCGGGAAGACAATGAACTTTTGGCATTTCTGTACCTCCGAGGTATACAGCATTATGTGACAAAACACAAATTTTACAGGAGAGGCAAAAATGCTCGAGGCAATCCCTGAATGCATTATCGATTATGATGGCATATACGATTGGATATTTTATTAATTATGGCGTCATAGGACTTCATGCTTTATACTATTGTGTAGGATTTGTTCTTGCAATTTTAATGGTGTAAAAAAAATAATTGTTAAAAATGTTGAGTTACTATTGTATGCCTCAGAGGTAATAGATTTTTTGAAATGCGACTGTAATTGGTGCTAGTAGTGTGCAGTGCATTACTACACCTTATTATAAAAACTGCTAAACCTTTTCGATGAGTGGCTGTTTTCCGCTCTTTTAAACACGGTTCTCAATACGGTTTTACGGTTTTTTTTACTTTTATTACCTGAGACCATAGTCATTTATGAAACGATTTTAAAAATTCTTTTTGCTTTGGGTTCGGTATGGTACCAATGTGGTTTGATATTAATTCCATTGGTGTTGAACCTTGGACAGCAGATAGACCTCAGGGGACTTCTCAAAACGAAAAAGAAAATTTATAGCGAGTGAGATATTTGAAATCGGCTGCTTTTCTCAATAGAATTGTTTCTACTCTCTGTATATGAACTACCTACATAAATATTCATCAGCTGTATAAAACAAATTGCTTTTGTCTCGAACTATCCTAACTCCCATTCTATTATTAACAATTTTTATTATTGCTAGCACAATAATTTATGTATTTTATTTTATTCATTATTATATTTATCTTTGTAATTTAACAATTTTAAACTTACATATTTACGATAACAGATAGACTATAAAGTAAACAATAGAATATGAACCAATATCAATGATAGTTCTATTATAAAAGAGTGGCTGGAACCCGTCCGATCTGTATTTAAATCTCATACAACTCAACATTAATTGGTCTGAAGATAGAAGCATATTAAAAAGGTGCTTTGACCTCAACTTTGCCTACGTGCGGGAATGTAGGGTCCCTTTTTTTTAAACTAAATTTATTCTATTGTCGTTTCTCTTAGAAACGTGACGAGAATACGTAATTTTTGTGTTGTAAATTTATAATTTATTGAGTATTGAAAGTTTTACTACAAATTTCCATATTTACATAGTACTGTCTATTATAAACTTTTAGAACTAGTCTTTGCAGTTAAGATGAAATTTAAACTGTGTGATGTCAGTAAGGATACCGTTCGCTTAGCTCAGTGGATAGAACGTCTGGACGCCTAATATGATAGGTGCAGGTTCGAATCCTGGCAATGGCTAAAGATTTTGTGACAGTTCTACTACACGTTTTAAACATACCGTTTGTCCGTTGCATTAATCGAAAGCTATACCGATTCCTCATACTATAGTTTTGTTAGCTGACCGCTCAAAATTTTATAAAAAATATTAACGAAATACATACATACATAAATATTATGGTTCGCAGTTAAGTAAGAAAATTGCTGCAAATTATCTTTTTTTACGTGAGAAGGTGGTAAGCGAGCAGGCATTTCACCTGATGTTAAGTGATAACCGTCGCCTATTGACATTAGCCCCACTCGCCGTAGGATTGCAGATAAGTTGCTACTTTTTAAGGAAGTGGGCCCCGGCTACGTCACTCCCCAAACGAAACGGTAAAAGTATTATTCCTTTCGTCTGATGAACGGATCACTTGAAGGCAGTCTTCTGTCAGGTCGTGGTACTTACTCGGACGTACCTATCTGCCCGTTCGTGCAACAGTGAAGACTTGCTTGGCCCTACTACGAAACTACTACCACATTTTTCCGAAACCTGAACTTTGGCAGGGAACGAAACGGAACTTGCAAAACTAAGCACAAACTTCGAGGTGACTTATAACGTTAGGCTATATATATATTTCCAGGCGAGGTCAATAACTTTATCTGTTCACCACCTTTCAGAAACTTTGTTAAACGAACGACAGTGCAAACAAAATCATACTGTTACCATAGACAAGAAATCTTACCTAGTGGAACCTTAAAATTTGTAGTGTAACCTTGTTCTATTGTATATCTTAAACTAAGCAACTATATTAGAACTACGATACAAATTATTACAAATTATTGGAATATTACATTTTCCATTTTTTCCCACATACAAATAAACGTCTATCTCAATGAATGTGTAATATTTATAGAATTTTTGCCGAGATAAGATTCCTCCAACGATATCTCGACATTTCCAATGACGAACGAGATGAACATTCTCCGAGTTCATAATTCTCACAAGGTCGCCGTTAGGTTAATAAAAGCAATGGACTTTATCAAGGACACATCGAGATGTGTGGGTAGTAGTAGTTAAGGTCAAAAGAGATGGCAAGATCAACATAGTAAGTAATATTATTATGTGAACGCACAACATATTTTTCCATGATAGCGATCAATTTTGGGACTGCCTCTCATTACAATTCAGATCTCGAGGTGTAATTAAATTACTAAAACTTTATAAGTAGATATAAAATAGGTAAGAATTTACGATATGATGTAAATGAAAAGAAAATCTTTTCTAAACAAAAGTAGCTGGAAGATCTGTTGGGCGTCTGGTAATAAGTGGTATAAATTAGATTAGAAGAGACAGAGAAAATAATATAGACGTTGTGCTGATAGATTATTATCTAATATATAAAATTCTCGTGTTACGGTGTTTGTAATTGAACTCCTCCGGCCCGACCGATTTTCGTGAAATTTTGTGTGCGTATCGGCCAGGGTGGAGAATCGGACAATTTCTTTATTATTACAGGGTCAGCTAGTAGTATATATACAGTTATTCACTAGACCGTGGCTGTAATAAAAGATGCAATAAAATATATCAATATTTTAACACAACGCAAATAATAAAAATAAATCAATATTTTAACACAACGCAGTTCGAATTTATTAATACTCTTGGATTCAGTTGGTGGTTAAAACAAAGAAGAGTCATTTTGTTAACTATTTCACTTTGGCTCGAGGTCGATCTGATACAGTTTAAATGTAAAGCAATAAATATGACATTTGCCTGGACGTTATAAATCGAAACGAGAAAGCGTACGGAGAATTTTAAATAAGAAACCGACGCTGGAGTTATTGTTGCGTACGTTTAAAACAAGTTTCTCCCGTTGATAAGGCTGCATAAATGTCCGATGAAGTCGACGACTTCGGGCGGTTAGCCCGCGCTCAAAATGTAAATATAATACGTTATGTCATTTCATTAAAATAGCTGAATGGAATAGCGCTTTTATGTAAAAGTTACCTATCCAGTTCGACGCAAATCGTTAGTCGTTACACGAACTCTTGTCGGAAACTTGTCTTAAAAATATTGTTATACTTAAACTTATTGAGAAATAAATTTTAATTCGTCGCCTGATTCCATAAGCTCAAGTTTTTAAAAAAAAAGTATATACATTTTGATATTGTTATGTGTGGTAAATAAGCGAATCTCGCAGTGTTTATAATTATAGGAAATATCTCGAACGAACAATTTTGTGTTTGGTTAAATAGTCAGTTACTTTTTATCTTTCTTATATTCTCATTCTGTATTTCTTTCGTCTGAAACAGTTTTTATCATTAAAATTGTTTTATGGCGCCAACTGATAACAATCGGTCTTCACTAATGAATGTTATCGTTGCGCGCACAAACACTCGTTTTAAGTAATATCGTGACAAATCAGGGCCATTTGCGATAAGTTGACCAGTTGTAAAAATTTATTAGGTGTCTCAATCGTCTTTAAAAGACGTTCTATTGCGAAATAGCAGTCATTAAAATTTGATGTCTGCTTACCGTTAAATGTGTCGTAAGCAGTAGGCTGGTAATCCTCCCGAAACGTGTCCTGAGCGTATGCTGCGATTAACGAACTCTTTCCCACAGCTCCATCACCGACCAACACACACTTAATCTTCTCCTTGTTACCACATTTCACTTTCCGCCTGTCCTTTATCTGAAACATCCTGTTCAATGTCCTCCTGCATTTCTTGTCGCGCACCGCCCAGTCGTTTACTTTATCACAGCAGTTCGTGTCTTCGGACACATCGTCTTGTATCACAGTGTGGCCGCCCTCTTCGGCCACTTCGGAGTAGTCGTAGTCGTCGTCGTCGCGACGCGCGATCGGAAATTGGCTGGGACTGTGCACGCCGAATACAAAGGGCCCGTCCCTCTCCGGCAAGCGGTTGGCGTAACCGTTCACCGGAGTCGGCGGCTTCGTGTAATGCACAGCCGGCGCCCGGTACTGGCTCGACAGGTATTCCGCGGACGCGTGCGGGTCGAATCTGAACACGAGTTCCGCCTCACCGCGGTCCAAGCTCAGATCGGGCGTCGTCACTTTATCTTGAAAGTAGCCGACTTTTTCGCGCGCCCTCTGCTCCTGCAGCCGCCTCTCGAGTTCGACGTTCGATGGCTTCCAGTAGTCCGCTCGGTATTCGTAGTAGTCCGTAGGCAGGTTCCTGGGCGCGGGCAGAGGCCGGTGCGGGCCGAAGTCGCGGGGCGGCGCGCGCGGAGCTACCACCACCGGCTTCTGCGGCTCGGCGAGCAGCGGCCGCCGCGCGGACAGGTTCGCGTTCGCGCTCCTGTTGAACATGACGCCCTCTAAGCTGGGAGACATTGGCACCGTCACGGAATCCTAGCGCGATTAGTGTTATCGCAGCGTGCGTTCGCGCACATAACTCGACGTCGCGGTTGTGACGAGCGCGTAAAAGTCTCGACGAAACGCAAGGGCGCGATACGTGCTCCCACGTCGGAGGACGGCGCGTAACTGCCCGCTGCCGTAACTGGCTCGGCTCGGCTACGTTCCGAATCCGAGCCGAGAGCGGGACGACCGACAGTCGTCATTCGGCGGCCGAGTGGAGTCCGATGCTCATTCGAATCGAGTTCGTGCCAGCCAGCTCCCCCTCGCCTGTAGTGACCTGTTGCTTCTGTTACCTGTCCAGGTACAAGTTTCGCCGTTCGAACGCAGCTGCCGGGGAACAAAGCCCGTCATATGGCGACGCAGGCCGCCCAACTTGGCGGCTCATTCAAAGAAACGCGGACGATGAATGAAACGCGACGTGTTTTGTTTACCCATAGTCGTGATATTGACATCGGCTTGTTGGAATTATTTATTACGCGACGGGTAACGAATGATTTACATGATTTTGAACCGATTATATATTCAAATTGCGTTCATACTGAACTGAGCAGTAGTCCAAATAGGTCAACTGGGAAATATTTTGTTGATAACTTTGAGAGGTCACGTAAAATTACATATCGGTTTAAACAAAAAAAAAACTATCGTTACAGCTATCAATGCTACATCAGATATGGCTGCGAATATTAAATGCCTTATAAAGGGGGCACAGGTTGTGTAGCGTGACGTAGATATTGGTTTTTGATCATTAATATAATAAAAAACAATTCAAACTAGAGTTAGTGATTTTTAAACAGTCCTTATGGCATGTTGCATAGGTCCTTATATAATTTAATATTTTCACTTCAGATTATTGAAGCAAATGTTAACTCTAATATAGAGTTTAATTTTTTTAGAGCAAAATGAAAAGTATTTCCTTTTTTATACAGATGGAAGCAAAGGTAATTCACATGCACGAAGTGCAGTGTATGGTCCTCAAATTAAGTTTGTGCAGAGCTTTAATTTAAGCACAACTTGTTCTATTTTTATCGCTGAAGCATATGCTGTCTTGAAAGCAATTAATCCAATTGCAAATATTCAGTTTTGTAAATATTTTTGATAGTGACCGATTCCGTGAAGTTTAATTAGTTGCCTTGTAAGTAATAAAATTATATGTATAGAGAGAGATAGAGTTATATACTGTATAATATTTAAGATTTTAGTAAAATATGCTGGTAAAAGCAGACGGTTCACCTGATGTTAAGTGAATACAGCCGCCCATGGACATCTGCTAAACCCGAGGGTTACAGATGCTTTGACAACCTTTTGAAAATTGGGCTCCGGTTACCTCGGTCACCAGACGAAACGCAAAAGTATTTCTCATACTTCCACTTTACGCTGGTCTTCTGTAAGGTCGTGGTACTTACCCGGACAGGCCTGCCCATTCGTGCAACAGCCGAGGCTGCTGGGTGGCCCTACCACCGTAAGGCATCAAGGTAGCCTTTATGTGGGTGCCCTCACATAAAAGAATTAAAGGGTATTAATAAGCTAGACGTAAGTTATTTTTTATGTGAAAAGTTGCCAAACGAGCAAACGGTTCACCTCATATCGTGTATCATAAGTGAATACCGCCGCACATAGACAAGTGCTACACCCGAGGGATACAGATGCGTAGACAACCTTTTGAAATTTGGGCTCCGGCTACAGACGAAACGCGAAATTTGTCATACTTTCACTTTGCGCTGGTCTTCTGTGAGGTCGTGGTACTTACCGAGGCTGCTGCGTGGCCCTACCACCGTAAGTACTAAGTTCAGTTATGCAAATACCGTTTACTTACTGTTTTTAACGTATTAGAAAAGATATAATGCACTTATGGCGAGAATTCTGGAAGTCAGTTCAAGAAATTAAGAGAAAATGGTATAGAGAGATACAGCTGGACTTACCGTGCAAGCCCTGGTTTGACAAACTAAGAGCCGCTAACAGTGATTGTAAACTGATATTTTTGAAAAAGAGCAACCGTTGAGTTTCTTGCCGGTCTCTTCTCAACAGAAACTGCTTTCCGAACCGGTGGTACCTTACGAACCTATCTATATAATTTTTTATGTAAAATTTGACGATTCATAAGAACGCGCAAGCGTCTATTTGATTAAAGATATTTGACTGATTGATTGACTGATTTTATAACCATAATAAAACTCTGTGGCGTCCTAGGTGGATAATCTGGGAGTGGACGCCTTTTCTTTTTCACAGCGGTGGACACCTGACGGAGGTCTTGTCAGACGTCTCAGGAAAAATTTTCATTGCAGTAATAGCAGATACTGTCAACATTGAAACAAGATGAAGGGGCCACATTTGGACATTCCTGTGCGCCAGCTCACTAGCATAAATTGAAAATAATTGGCAATAACAGATGCGAACATTGTGGACATTTACCATGTGATGTCGAACATTTGATTTTTTCATGTCCGTTATTTTCTGTACAACGTTTGATACTTGCAATTGGCATAAGTGAAATAAGTTGTTTACACATAAATAATGCCCCCACCGCTTGTGTAAATTACTAAAAATTACAGAAACCTATTATGCAATCTACAAATATATTAAAAATATTATCAAGAAACTATATTAATCATAGAGCCTTGATAGCCCAGTGTTAGGGCACTCGCCTTTAATTCAATATACTCTAGAAACCTGAGTTCGATCCCCAGTGCCGGCACCAATAAGTTTTTAACCTTAAGTGCTGACTTATCACGTGCTCCGCGGTGAAGGAAAACATCGTGAGGAAACCTGCATATTTTCGAAATAATAACAAAAAAAAAATAAATTCGAAGATATGTGAAGTCCGCCAATCCGTTGTGGGGCCACATGGTGGACTATGCCCTGATACCCTCTGTATAGAGGAGGCCTTTGCCCAGCAGTGGTACATGTATAGGCTGATACTTTACTTTACTATGTAACATGTTTAAAATTTTAAGCTTCTATGATGTAATAAAACTTTAAAAAAACTTCTAAAAGTAAATTTAAAACAGGTTTTCTTAAGAGATTTGCAATGTGGTCCTGTTGCTCTTGTATAACCAGATATTAAATAGTTAGGTTGATTACCTACTTCCAATTGATTTCAAGATTTATTAATAAACATTTAGAATACAAGAATGTCTGAACTTCATGCACTATACATCATACAATATTACATTGCTTTCTTATAAATGTAATTTTTTTTAAAATATTGATTTATACTGCATTGTGTCTACAATCAAAAGTTCATGAACTTTAATTTTTGGGAATTGTCATCAATGCATATGAAAAGTTCGCATACTACAACAAATATGATGGGGCCAGACAATATTATAGTCTGCATACATATATCTTTATCTATGCATAACAAAATTATCAGTATTTGCCAAAAATTCACATTTCTTCACTATTTATTAATCTTTGTGATAAAATGTTTTTGCTATTAACATTCTTATTATTATCCAGTGAAAAGCTGGTAAATGTAAAGTCTTGCCCAGCAGTGGGACATGTATAGGCTGTTACTATATTAATCAAGTAAATAAAAGAGTTAGTAACATTTCCCATTTTTACTTCTGGTAATAATGTCAAAAGCACATGTTGACAAAAACAAATGTCAAACTGTTGCTAATTGTCAAAATAGTTTCCGAATTATGGTTATAAATATTGGTTAGTTCGCTAAACAACTAGAATAATCGTATTTAATTAAAAGGAACCATCACAACAATTATATTTGCAAACAGAGATGGCGAAGTTTAAATTGAGTAAGTAGTAGTTACTTCTCGATATAAATTTAGGAGTAAATATTTTTTTATTTAAAGTTAACATGTTTGATCTCTGCTCCTTAGCTTCGAATTAAAAGACTTATATTTATTAAAAATTGTTATACAATATTAATTTTAAAAATTAAATTTATTTTAGAAAAACCTTCAAAACGACAGCCAGCACGCCTTCGTTATAAAATCGAGAAAAAAGTTAGAGAACACAATAGAAAATTGAAAAAAGAAGCGAAGAAGAATCCTAAATCTAAAAAGACGAAGCCAATTCAAATACCAAATGTTTGTCCATTTAAAGAAGACATTTTGAAAGAAGTGGAAGCTGTAAAGAAACATAAGGAGGAAGAAAAACAAAAAAGAAAAGAGCAAGCTAAATTCGAAAAACAGAAGAAATTAGAAGAGAAGAAAAACAACCCTGTAGCAATGGATAAATTGGTATTGATGATTTTTTTTAAATATGTGATCAAGTTTGTACATATACCAAAAATGTTATTTTGGTATATGTACCGAGTATACATCCATATGCATTTAGTAAAAAGCTGTTATTTTAATGTTACAAACAGACACTCCAATTTTATTTATCTGTATGTATAGATTAATAAAAATAATATAAACAATAGAAGTGGGATAAGCAGAGTGCAGATGTTTTCCCTGTACAATGACCACAGAAATTTGAGAAAACATTTTGATAATTTACGAAAACCAATATACGAAAAACTCATTAGTGTAGATTCAAGCTTGATTGAAATTGTAACATTTCAGTCACTAAGCCATTATAAAAACATTTTGAGCAACATTTCTTGCCATATGCTGACTTAAAAAATAAATGCTTATGATTCACAGGTAGCCAATGCAGAGGCCAGAGGCAGGGTTCATGATGTATTCAAAGGCAGTGATAATACAAATGGTGATGTTGAATTTGGTAAAGATAGACAGCAAGAGAACTCCCTTAAGACATATTACAGAGAATTTAAAAAGGTGATTTCAGAAGCTGAAGTTATCTTAGAAGTAGTTGATGCAAGAGATCCATTAGGTAAGAGATTATTTAATAAAAAAGAATGGCTTATGATGTTACCATATAAATTCACTTTATGAACTTTTGGTAAAAAAGCTTATTAATTAGTACCTAGTTAATAAAAAAAATCATAACACATTGAAAAATGTTTTAAGTTAGGAGAATTGCTATTTTCTGTATTACTGAATTAATTGTTCAACTTTATTAGGTAAAAATTACCCTTTATTATAATTATATATTTCAATCTTAATTTTTTTTTCAAAAAAAGACTAGTCATTTTATAGGACATACATATTATGGTTCAAAAGTATAATGTATGAATTCCAAGAAATATATTTTGTTATTTTTCCTTTTCCTACTTATAGACAATGCATTACTTATAAACACAAATTCAAACTGCAAGTTTTGATATGCTAAGGAATTACGAATTAATAAATTATGATCCATTTTAATTTGCATCTCATAAAATGACAGTAAAAAAATTAATTTATCTTGAAAAGGAACCGTAACATCATTTATGAACCACCCAATAGTCTAGCAATAGTTTTAAGTGCATATACTTATACATCTTAGTAATTGGTACAAAAAATTACAATAATATTTGATCCTTCATATCAAATATTTACTCATTTTAAAATAATACTGGAAACAATATTATAACACAAATTTATCAGTAAAAATAAATGTAGTAAATATTATTTATCAAATAAATAAAATAAAAGGTAAGTGCAGAAACTATGTAGATTCTGTCCTAGAATTGTATGTTATTCATTGTTTAGTGGAATGTATACTTACTTATTCTCAATAGTTCATATAGATATTGCTAAGAATCAGATATTTTTGTATCAATTTTTCGATTCCATGGTCAAGGTCAATTGAAAGCGGTCAAATAAATATCTGAGATTTGATGGACTTTATTTCATTTAAGTACTTTGTAATTAACTTTATAATATATTGTATATTATAATAAAAATCTTGACTATATTATTAATCATTACATATACATGTAGTTATATTGCTGTTTTGTACTTTCTTAACTATATAAAATTCATTTAGGTACTAGGTGCATTCAAGTGGAAGAGGCAGTGCGTGAGTCCGGCAAGCGATTAGTATTAGTACTTAACAAAGCCGACTTAGTTCCACGAGGAAATCTATCAGCCTGGCTAAAGTATCTACGAAGGTTTGCACCTGCTGTTCCATTCAAAGCTTCCACCCAAGATCAGCAGCATAATTTAGGAAGGAGGAAAATGAAACATATAGTGAAAGAGAAAGAAATGAAAGGTAATATACATATTTTATTAAATTTTTTATTATTTAACAACACAGTAGGTAGGTACTACTACATAATAATACTAATCATGTAGAATTTTGAAGAATATGGTATTATTGTAATTGTATTCTTACCTAGCCATTACTTTTTATTAACTTAGCAGTTCTTGCACATAGCATACCTATTAAAATGAATTTAAGCTCATCTTATCGATGATAGATCATTAACAATTTGATTTAAAATCCTATTATATTTCATGTTATGTGATCCTGCTGGATTGTCAGAAGATTAGAACAATAATAAAGAGATCAGAGATCTGACCTAAAAAGTGGACCCACTAATTTCATTAGGATGAATGTTTCTTATGAAACTTCACATAATATTCTGCACTGACACCGCAAATAAAAAATTCAGAATTACACTATTCTGGGATTTTGTATGGCGTTATTTTCACATGGTAAAAACCAAACTGCTTGTTCCACTCTTCAGGTTCGGCTTGTGTCGGAGCAGAGCTGCTCATGAGTCTATTAGGCAATTATTGTCGCAACAAGGGAATTAAGACTTCTATAACAGTTGGCGTGGTGGGTTTGCCTAATGTCGGCAAGAGTTCCATCATCAACAGCTTAAATAGATCTAAGGCCTGCAACGTTGGCAGCACTCCAGGTGTTACTAAGTAAGCTTTATCATGGAACCATTATGTAATAATTTAAGTTGTTTTCTTTATGTAACATATCGGTAGAAGATGAGATTAATTTGATTAAAATTGTTATTCATTAATTATATCAAATTCTTAAAAAAAAAAAACAATTTAATTAATCACAATAATAAAACTGTATATTGTATAATGAAACTCAATAGCTCTCACAAATGCCAGTCATCCATCCAAAATGCATGTTACTCAGTTACAATACTAATTATAAGAATGTGATAAAAAACAATTTAAAGTTTAACATCTCAATACATTATTAATTATTTCCTATGTCATTACAGGCAGATGCAGACAGTCCAGCTCGACTCGAAGATCAAGATCCTCGACAGCCCCGGTATAGTGTTCCACACGGGATCTGACAATGACGCGTCCGTTGCTTTGAAGAACGCGATCCGAGTGGGCAGCCTCAAGGACCCAGTGACACCGGCCACGGCAATACTGCAAAGGGCGCACAAACAAACCCTGGTCGACTTGTACTGTGTACCACAGTTCAACACTCCTCAGGTTAGATTTCATAATAGTAAGTCTCAACTCGTGATAAGCAATTTAAAAAAAATAAAAAAAATACTCTCTAAATGTCTTAAATGAAAGTAAATAAATTGCTTATTCGTAAGCCATTGTGCTATTTTACTACGTATTATGGAAAGGAATACCTGAAAATTTCTATTAAGAGAGTACTTGGTGCTTACTACCAGAGAACCAAGACATCATTTTCTTTTAATAAATATCATTCTCCCTTTTCATTGACCATTCAACATGCTGTTATAGAGTGATACCAAAAGACAGACAATTATTATTCATAATTTATAAAAAGATATTAATAAAAATGTTGTAGAAAACCTTCCTGTTAGTTAGTGTCCTCTGCAATCAGGTATATTCTTAATATAAAAGCCAATTTGTATAGTAAGTACTACATTGTCTGATAATGATGCATAGATTGAAATTTCCAGGAGTTCTTTGCAAGTTTAGCGTCGCGCATGGGCAGGTTTAAGAAGGGCGGGGTGCCAGATCAGGAAGCTGCTGCCAGGATACTTCTCAACGACTGGAACACTGGAAAGGTATTTTATTAACATTATTCTTTATTTCAAACAGCTACTCTAAAACTTAAAACTTTAAATATAACAACATATTAACGGCAGAAGAACAAGTTTAATTGAATATAGGTAAGATTTCTGAATCATCCTTTAAATTTTAATATTACTCTGCATATCTTCAGAATTGGACAAAGTTTGACAATAGCGGGTAGTTTTTTTTAATTAGGAACCCTGAAGTATTCTTTGAATAAAAAACAGCAACAATGGTCATAATTTTTTTCACTCCATTACTATTAACAAATATCTGCCTTTAAGTGATCAATTTTTAAATATTACAACTGTATTAACTTGTAAAAAAGATTTGAATTCCTTGCCTTAGAGCCGAGCATGTGACACAGCCATCACCGTCTTATTTAATAATTATAAACCTTGCTACGGGCTTTTCGCCAATGAATACAGGCTGTTTATATATATTATTAAATACCTGGCCAAGTGCGTTTCGCCAATACAGGATATCCCATTTTCCACCAGGTCCGATACTTCACTGAGCCGCCAGAGGAGTCTGAAGACGTTCACGTGGACGCGAAGATCGTCACCGCAGCGGCACAAGAATTCGACATCAACTCGTTCGAAGCGATGGAGACGGAAGCAATAGACGCCCTGCAGACGGGAAACGAAGATCTTGATGGCATTAAGGTGCATTTGGCCAGATAAATTAAAAAAAAATGCATTTTCACATAATTAATACGATTTGTACTAATGAGCGAGCCGAGTGTAACGCACATGTTTTTTAAATATCGATTTATGAACATTATTTGAATCGTTAGCGATACAAAAGAATTGTAAATATTGTTGCTTCACATTCTTTTATTACTTTAAATAATTTTTTTGGACTTTTTCTGGATGTTTGTCCCCAATGGCGTTGCGTGCCCTTTGAACAAATTAGACAATCTTCGACGCGGTTGTGGTTGTGACTTATCGGGGTTTTCTTTTTTTTTATCATATTTAAATGAATCATTATCGTTTAATCAATCCATTGATCGCTGCTCGTGATTGGAGATAGATGAATTCCCATTATGGCTTTCAATTCATCTCCTAACCGGAGCCCGAAGTCGACAACTTCGTTCTCCGGTTAGCGAAGTCTCAAAATTTTCCCAACAGCGGATCAAGCCGAAACTGTAAACGCAACGTTTTCATTTCGCGCCGTGTGTGTTGAGTTAATATTGCGACGGCACTTCTAATCACCAATAATGCGATATATCTATTATTCCATTGAAGGGCGATATCTATGAAAAGCCGAACGGCGGGAAAACAATTGAAGTAAATTTAAACAAATGTCACACTCTATATAAAATTATTTAAGCTTGGAATTCCACTAATTCTACTATTCTTGTACTATGGGTATTAGGTAGCGGATAAAAACACTTACAACAAGTTTTCTTTTGTAAATGACATTATAAATAATCAAACACCCGGTCACTATTCAATATTCCTCCATCAGTGGGGATCTAACCCACGCTCACGCGTAGGAGGTGGCTTGACTATCCACTGCGTCCATAGCGTACTACGTCTGTTCCACAGATCACCAGCACGGGACCGGTGAAAGCCGCTCAAGAGCTGAACGAGATGCAGGTAGACGAGGACGAGTCCTCGCTGCTGCCGAAGAAGGTGACCATCCGCCCGAAGCTGGACAAGGCGAAAGCCAGGGAGAAGGAGCGGGGGGACCCCGAGATGCAAATAGAGGGCAACACCAAGCAGAACAGGCTGCGCAAGATGCAGTTCAAGAAGGACAAGAAGAAACAGAAGAGGGTCGAGAAGCAAGCGCTCAACCTGGCGGGCGTACTGGAGAACGTAACGCTCACGACGTACAAGAAGGGCGATGACTACGACTTCAAGGAAGACTTTTCGCTGTGATGGCAACTGTGAATTAAAGTTCTCCGAACGTGCTCTTGTTTTATTTATTTTTCAATCTGATCTGGTAGACAAATAGCAAAATATTAATTATCGTCCAGGTCGAACGCTTGGATCGCGTATTGAAATTTGTCGTTTGATGCAATGTCGAATATATTTTTTTATTTATTTCTTTTAGTCTACACTACATTTCAATGTGTGAGTATAACTCGGCTTCCGGTTCATTCAAAAGAGTCAGAGGTAATTTGTAGAATTCGCTAAGAATCAAAAGAATTTCTGAATGCAAGCCTTCTTTACCATCTCTGCGCGAGGAAGATGTCAAATGACTCGTATTTTTACATTACTTTCGGACACTTTTTATGTCTTAAGTCGAAACTATGATAAAGGGATCGCAAAATCGTGTAATGGGATCGCCAGTTTTATCACGGATCCGACGTATCAAGGTCATTGCGAAAACCGTGGTACCGCTGGTGTGCCTCAAGGCTGCATGATATCTCCTGCCATGTTTCTATCGCATATCTTTTTGTATATTAGCAACATTCATTGCCATGCGGATGAAAGTAGAGATGATGCTTTAAATATCGGGCTTATTGGGTCCGACTAAATTTAGCTCAATGTGACTAAGAAGTCAGAACATTGTAGTTTTACCGCAATTTAGACACTTTGTGGTATTACTTGTTAGATTCTTGATCGGTATTCTTACTGCTGAGCTCTTTTGCCTCCTCATCAATAAAAAAATAAATAATATGTCACTAATAAATGAACCTGAAACATCCCCAATGGTGTATTAAAAAATAAAGTTTTTAGATATTACGCAAACATATCGGTATCATCGGTATAATCATTTATATATTTAAGTAACTTAATTACCAAAAATTAAAAATCATGAGGGGGATCTTTGGTAGCAGTTGACTCTAATAGGCTGAAACGATGATGGCGATGAAAAATAACGTATAAACTGTTCTTTATATATTTTTACCAGATCAACTTAGAGGCATCGCTAATGTCATCCATATTTAATGGGTGTTAAGGATTAAGTTCTAAATGTGACAGATGCTAATCTAGTCACCATATAAGATCCACGGCAACATGGTCGATGCACCATTGTCATAAAACACGCAATCTATTTGCTACGGTAGGTATGTACTTTTGCTTTTCCATTAGTGATTGTGTTAGTGATATTTTAATTGTCGTTATCACAACTGCAACCATAATCACTTAATGTCAGGTGAACAGCTTACTTGCATGTCGCTTTTCACGTAAAAAACTCATCCTCCTGTCTGAGTCATTACCTTATCCCAGCAATGTGGTGGGGTCGCCACAATGTGCAATTTTTGTATTGTTTAGGTTTTTTTTTTTTTTTTACATTGGTCAATGCCTGATGCCTTGCCTGATGTCAATTCATGCCTGCCTTATGAATAAATACCCAGTTCCGGAACAATTGTCTGTAAATCACAGAAATACTTGATCCGTGTGGGAATCGAACCGTCGCTGACCTGTCACCAAAGCTTACGCCACCGAGTCATTAACGCCCGGTTTACCCAAACCCGTGGGTTCTGGCTAGCCCACCGGTTCTGCGTCAGATGTAGCTTTAATAGTCTCGGGACTGAGAGCAAAAACATCAGTTAATACAAGATACAAGACGCCCGGTTTCTGAAACACTGTTCATCTCACACTCTCTGAATTTATCAGAATAATCTTCTTAACGATCCTAATGATCAATTCAAAGACTTTAACAATCCTTTTGGCAACTCAAATATCATTTGAAAATCCATTTGACAGCTGGTAAGTTGACTTCTACGATGAACAGTGTTTCAGAAACCGGGCGTAAGTTGTATAATAAAATGCTGTCCTTGTAAATTAACTTAAAGAAAGAACTGACAGGCCATTTTGTCGTTATAGACCGTATTTGTCGAAGTTCATCACCCCTATCACCTCTAATCAAATTACAACATAATAGTTTAAAATCTGAATTTTTGATATAATTATGCGTTGGTAAAACATCGGGGTCGGTTACTTAGAAAACGAAGGGTCGAATTTCTTACGTTTTGGTTCATGGATTAATAAAAATTCACATTAAACATCTTGAGTGCGTAGACTAGCGCTTAAAATAAAAATAAATCCTAAAATTAATAGTGTTTAACATCACAAGTGTGAGAAGTTATAAAAGTTGGGATCTAGTTGGTGAAACGTCGGTTCATCCCAAGTCTAAGTTTAAAATCAAAGCACATTCAAAAGGTTGTAAAAACACCATAAATAAATAGGTACCGAGTACTTGATGAGCTAATTGAAAAGAGTAAAGGCAGCAATTAAAGTAAAGGCCTGCCTGCTTTCTTTACCAGATGAATTTACCGAAATTGGAAGTCCATAAATAAACATTTTGTTCTGTTCTAATGAGGCCACATGATAAGCCTTTGTAATAAACAATATCCTCATTAAGTAATTCAAAGCTTATGGAAGTGATAACCGAACTCATTAAATTAAGTGATTTAAATACGGTTTGTTGGTGGCTGGTACCTAAAATTTTGTGCGATAAAAAACCGGAATGTTCGCGTAATATTGTCGAAAGAAGAGTTATATGTAACATAGGTTTCATACAAGGTAACTCTGAATACTTTTACATCAAATCTAAACGTACTTATTTATGTAAATTGTGTTCCGTATTATTATGAAGTGGCTAAAGGATTTAGTTAAGCCAATTTAAAATTTTAACTTTTTGTAGAATTTTTGATAGTTGGTCGATTTAATAAAAATACCTTTAAAAAGTAAGTTCGATGCATACTTTTACTATGTGATACTTAGTTCTGGTATTATGTTTCTTATTAATAAAGTTATATGAGAAATCATTCAAGAATAAGTTAAGAAAAAAATATGGATGAAGGCTTTTTTTATTAATTTTCTTTTTATTGTCATATACATCAAATGTTTCCGTTGCGTAATGACTTCTTTAATTTCTGAGAATATTATTAATTTTAATAAAAGTAGTTTATGGTTTTGGACAACGTGGGACATTTGGATTTTATTTTATAGGTCGATTAGCTTCAATTTAAAAAAAAATAAAGTGTTTTCTTTTAATTAAACTAAATTAAAAATTAGAAAATTCATTTAGACGCCATAGTATTTAAAGTAATTTTTTGTCTTTATTACTTTCATGCATTAATAAAAAATTTTTTGTCTATTTTGTTTTCATACTTATAATTCATTACTCACAGTTTGCCTGGTCTTAAAGTAAAAAGTTAATTAGTTTTTATACCTATATTAAAATAATCGACAATGAATATTTATAAAATAAGTTATTAAACGTACACCTTACTAACTCACTTAATTTATTTATAGAATGTTTACGTTTAGACTTAACAATATGATATTGACAGCGCTGTATCGTGTTTTATAATTAATAAACAATATACATATGTTTATGAAAACAGATCACACAATGTTAGAAATGTTGTCACGCCAAGTTTGTCCTTGATGCATTACTGCGATGATAGACATGACTTTTTTATTAATATTTAAATTTAATTTTATGCGCACTTCAGTGCCCGCAGCCGCTTATGCCGTTCCTAGAATGTGTCTACCCATTGAGTATGAATAGGGTAGCCCAGGAAATACCGGCCTCACAGAAGACCGGCTTGAAGTGCAAGAATCATACTTTCGCTTTTCGTCTGGTGAGTGTGGTAACCGAGGCCCAATGTGGGCAACGTAACTGGAACGCCTCGGGTACTATAGATATCCATGAGCGGCGGTAATCACTGAACAAAAGGTGAACCGCCTGCTCCCTTGGAAACTTGTAATATACAGGTAGGCTTTTCTAAGTGTATCCATTATTTTTATTAAATTCTAGACATAAATAAAGTTATATAAAAATGATAAATATTTCAAATAACTCGTAATTAATTAATTACATTCATTTGAACTTATCTCAGAAAGTGCGTGATTTATGGGCAACTCATATATTTTACGCGCGATCATTCATAACTAATACGCACACAAGTTCGTTTCAAAATTAGACGACGCATTTATGAATGACTACCGCATTGTCAACAAGTTCTGTTTTATCCTTATAAAACAAAATTTGTCTTTTCAAAAAAATAACAGACTTTTCAAAAAAATTGCCATTCTATTCCTTAATAGAATGGCAATTTTTTAAAAAAAAGTTTGTTTTAAAACCGAGTTTAAAACTTCTGTGTGAATTTGGGCACCTTTTTAAAAGCCACCCTGTATTAAAAAAAGTCAATTTTTAATTTAATTAAAAGCGCATTTGTAACGGCATTATTATACTTATATATAATATCTCTATATATATAATTCAACCTATATTTTAGAAGCAATTGAAATTATCTCTATTTTTATAACGGTTAACTTAATTTTAATTTTACTACGAAGCTCTATTTCACAGTTCTGTTGCTCCCTCTCTCACCTAAGGAGGAGTCGCCAACATATCAATCTTTTGTCAATTATATTGGCTAATATTTTTACTACCACCCGCCTGCCTGATGTCTACCCTCCTTGGGAATTAACACCCATATCCGGAATAGTTAGGTGCGGGTCAGAAAAATACTTGTGCCGTGTCGGAATCGAACCCACATCCTCGGCGCCGAAGCTAATAGCTAAACGCGCTAATTGCGCCTCCAACTCATCATCGCATCTAAGCAATTACAAAAACCAATGTATTTTAACACAATTCTCGATGATTCCTCTAACAAAACTTGTGACGTTATATTCTGTATCAGAATTTTAATTTTATTTTAGGCACCGAAAAATAAAGTATTAAATACGAAAAAATATTAGAAGAAGAAATGTTTAGGTAGGAATTCGATTTTAAAATTATTTTCAGAAAACTTAGTTAATATCAATATCGTTGAATGAAACAATTTATTTTTCACGAACGTCAAACACGTGGATTTATATCACCTCTCCCTGTTTAATAAACCATGTTTTATATATACATCTCTTTCTGATGCCATGTGTTATTGTGATTGGTGGAAATTTTTAATCATCAAGGTGAACTTTCTCGATCATCGGACTGTATGATACAATTAATAAAAAAAATGTGATTTTAATGAAGTCTTAAATATATTTATCGTTAATTTGTATATTGAAATATTTATTTTCAATATGATATATTATTTATGAGTTATAGCTTTGAAACAAGTAATTTCAAGAAATATTTTTATATTTTCCCGCTAGTAATCTTCCTTCTTTCGAGTAGTGTGTTCGATTTCTATTTGTTACCGTTCAACCAATGGCAGCATTCCATCTGTCTGCGTAATTTTACGTCATCAGCTAAAGCTTACATTCCTTTACTCTTTCATACTAATACGCATCTGCATATGTGCATTTCATTCTATCGCTGTCATCAATTTTATAAAAGACACGTATGTCGAAGTCTCTCTCTTTTGCACTCCATTGATTTCTTTACGTGTGACAGAGATAAGCGATAGACGACGCAACAAACCGGTAGAAATTAAATAACTGGGAATTCGCCAAAATTCGAAGTTATTCGTGGCCAGTCCTTTGACAAAAGAGGGTGGTTGTGTATAACAAAATGAAGGCTTTAGCCCTAGCTGTTGTCAGTTTACTGGCAATCTATTCTGTTAATTGTGAAGTGTTTTTCGAGGAGAAATTCCCTGATGGTATGTTTTATGCAAGTGCAAATTACTTAAATAACATAAGTGCCGGCACGCCGCGTATCGATCTAGGACGCCGGTCGTCATTATGAATTCTTAATAGTTTTCTCATTGCAGATTCGTGGGAATCTAATTGGGTTTACAGCGAGCATCCCGGCAAGGAGTTCGGCAAGTTTAAGTTGACCGCTGGTAAATTCTTCAACGACCCCGAGGAAGATAAAGGTAACACGATGCTCCTTTCTAATCTATCGTAGTATGAAACGAAAGTTCACATTTATAAGTTATTCTAATATGATTAACGAGAGTTATCCTATAATAAATTCTAAAATATGAATCTTATTGGCATCATTTATTAAGGATTTGTTCTCCTACAGGTCTCCAGACCTCTGAAGATGCAAGGTTCTACGCCCTCTCGCGTAAGTTCAAGCCCTTCAGTAACGAAGGCAAGCCCCTGGTTGTGCAGTTCTCAGTTAAGCACGAGCAAGACATTGATTGTGGTGGCGGTTACCTGAAGGTGTTCGACTGCAAGTTGGACCAAAAGGATATGCACGGGGAGAGTCCTTATGAAATCATGTTTGGCCCAGACATCTGCGGACCCGGTACCAAAAAGGTGAGGATTATATTTTTTTAATTAATAATATATCAAAATGTTTCCTCCACTAGACGTTATACGGGTAAACGCTTATGAGTATGTTAAAATGTTTTCAGAGTAGCTACAACCATACCACTTATAGACCATGTTTCATAATTTTTATTGGAAGCTTCATATTCGAACCCTTTTCAGGGGACAGAGGAAATGAAAAATATTATAAATCGATAAATCCATACATAAAAAACACAATAAATCCGTAAAAATAATTTCATTTATATATGTAACATGTGTTAAACGTCGTCATCCTAAACAGTGTAGGACGACCCCCCACTAGATGGAGTGATGACCTGTGCAAATGTGCGGGAAGTCGATGGATGCAGGTGGCTCAGGATCGTACTTCATGGCAGTCTGTGGGGGAGGCCTATGTTCAGCAGTGGACTCAAACAGGCTGAAATGATTATGATGATGATGTAACATGTTGACTGAGCCGTGATAGCTTAGTGTCTGGGCGCTGGCCTTTAATTCAATATACTCGAGTAACCTGAGTTTGATCCCCGGTGCTGGCACCAATGAAAATTGACAATTTTAAGTGCTGAATTATCACGTGCGGAAGCAGCGGTGAAGGAAAACATCGTGAGGAAACCTGCATATTTTCGAAATAATAACAAAAAAAAATTTCGAAGATATGTGAAGTCCGCCAATCCGTTGTGGGGCCACATGGTGGACTATGCCCTGATACCCTCTGTATAGAGGAGGCCTTTGCCCAGCAGTGGTACATGTATAGGCTGATACTTTACTTTACTATGTAACATGTTTAAAATTTTAAGCTTCTATGATGTAATAAAACTTTAAAAAAACTTCTAAAAGTAAATTTAAAACAGGTTTTCTTAAGAGATTTGCAATGTGGTCCTGTTGCTCTTGTATAACCAGATATTAAATAGTTAGGTTGATTACCTACTTCCAATTGATTTCAAGATTTATTAATAAACATTTAGAATACAAGAATGTCTGAACTTCATGCACTATACATCATACATTACATTGCTTTCTTATAAATGTAAATTTTTTTAAAATATTGATTTATACTGCATTGTGTCTACAATCAAAAGTTCATGAACTTTAATTTTTGGGAATTGTCATCAATGCATATGAAAAGTTCGCATACTACAACAAATATGATGGGGCCAGACAATATAATAGTCTGCATACATATATCTTTATCTATGCATAACAAAATTATCAGTATTTGCCAAAAATTCACATTTCTTCACTATTTATTAATCTTTGTGATAAAATGTTTTTGCTATTAACATTCTTATTATTATCCAGTGAAAAGCTGGTAAATGTAAAGTCTTGAAATTCTTTGATCTTAATGCATATGATGAATGCCTATTAATGAAAATTAGAAATTATCCTAACAGTTCAAACATATATTAATTACCTAGTAAAACTTTTTTACTTTTGACACCTTCCATAAGAGACATATGATGCCTCACAAAAAATACTTTAATTAGATTATTACCTTTCTTTGAATCTCTGTTAGCTTTGTTATGCAAACATTGTTTAGTTGACTTTACATCAGGACGTATTTGATCGGTAGCTAGAACGGTTTTACCAACTTGGCATTGTCTGCAAACGGTGTTGTTAGTGCCGACGGAAGTGCATTGTGAGGCAATACTTTGCAAATGCCTCGTCGTTGATTTGTGCCAATGACTCTTTTTAAACTAGCCACTTTTATGCAACTGGTGCACCACTATAACTACACCATCTTAATGTTTGCGGCTGTTATTGGTATTACCAAACCAATATTATTTGTGAACCTACAATTTGAGTGCAATAGGCTTATTGAAAGCTGTGTAGTTTTAATGGACTACCATCCAAGATTCGCTTTCTTGTTTGCCACTTTTCCATAAAAATAATAAAATATTAAAGTCTCCTTTCCCATTGTTTTCTTCAAAATGTTTTACATATATGATTTAAGTACATTTATATGTTAATTTAAGCATTAGGAGAAATAAAAATCACATGGTTTATAATATAAATAACAGGTGCATGTACACGTCTTGTTAACAGGTGCATGTGATCTTCAGCTACAAGGGCAAGAACCATCTGATCAAGAAGGACATTCGCTGCAAGGACGATGTATACACCCACCTGTACACACTGATTGTGAAGCCGGACAACACCTATGAGGTGCTCATCGACAATGAGAAGGTCGAATCGGGCGAGCTTGAGGCCGACTGGGACTTCCTGCCGCCCAGAAAGATCAAGGTTTGTTTTTTTTTTGTTTTTATTTTCAGTAGTTCGCACTTACGCGGAAATACTTTCACTCGTATTTATCCATTTTTAAAATGTGCTCGACATTACAGTTGTAATATAAATGTTTGATTATATATTTTAAACTACTTGCAAAATAATACATGAATATTAAATACCTCTAGAGACTAATTGTATTGTCAAAGTCAACATTTTATCCCTTTTTTTTTTGTGATACAATTATACAAACTTATTTAGGTGTAAAATCAGCATCGGCCAGGGGAGTTGCAAGTGCAGAGTAAGGGTAATTTTTACACATCCTTGTCCTCAATGTATTTTTGATGTTACATTAGGCCCTTGCCCTAGGTGGTACCTTTATGAAATGTTTGAAATTATTTATACTTAGGTGTTTGTGGTTGTCACCTACTTTATTATAATTGTTTTATTTATGCTAGGACCCCGAGGCCAAGAAACCGGAAGACTGGGACGACAGGGCCACCATCCCCGACCCGGATGACAAGAAGCCCGAAGACTGGGACAAGCCCGAGCACATCCCGGACCCAGACGCTAGCAAGCCCGACGATTGGGACGACGAGATGGACGGCGAGTGGGAGCCACCGATGATAGACAACCCCGACTACAAGGGAGTCTGGGCACCCAAACAGGTACGCGCTTTTTACAATTACTTACCATGCAGCAGCATGCTCACAAATGGGAACATAATTATTAGTATGTATAAGATGTTTCAGTCTATCCCTTTGGAATTAAAATATCGTTACCCGTAATAAAAAAATATCTATTTTGATGAGAAATCTAGTATAGTTGTCAGCTTCCATCCAAGCGTAAAATTTGTAATGAATTCATTCATTCCACGTCATACAAAAATCCAACGAACGCGGTATAAATGTGACGTGTACGCGGGTTATCTCTTACCAGTTGTAAGAATAACCTTAATATTTTAAGTCATTAGACAAGACCTCTTTTAATAGAATATGAAAGCCAAACATTCGGAATTGTGTCAGACGAAGTTTTCCTTTGTTTCCAACATAGCCTTTTGTGAAATCGTCATCTATGGCTTGATAACGCAAGAAAAATTTTTTTTTTTGTTTGGTTTTTTCAAATTTACCTGAAACAGCTTTAAAAAGATTTTTTATCTTTTCCTAAAACATAAGATTTCACAATATCAGTGTGTTCATGCGTGTTCAATCGCTAAGAAGTAGAGAACGAATTTCTTTTTACAAACATCGCAGCAATCTTATTGAGTCACCGAATTAAAGCTAATTTACCAAGTCATAACAAATACGTGGTGCATTAAATTGCGCCTTGTACCTTTAAGGTAAGGTACAAATTGGATTGGCTCGGTGGCTGCCATTTTCTATTAGTGAGCGCGATGACCATTGCCTTATGTAAAGTTCGTTTGCCTCGAAAACCGTTAGGCGTCGTGAAAAAAGCAACGAACTCGCCGAACTCGCTACATGCAAATTGAATATGCATACATAAGAAATGAAATACTTGTTTTCCTAATACATTTCATTTTTTTTTAGCTTGTCTTATTTTAAATTAGGAGTACTAACATAATTTGATCGATTTAATTTTCTGTTTTTCTCTCTACAACTCATTGTTATTTCCGTAAAATGCATAGAATTACTGTATAACTCGACTACCAGACAACAATTGTCATCCAAGTTTTAATTCACATTGTTAATATTATATTCCTCTATATTAAATAAATCATTTGAAACATTTTACAATCCGGTTGGCGTAATGGGTAGTGAACCTACTTCTTCCGCCAGAGGGTGTTTTCTCTGGTAGTTGCCAATGGAAAATAACCTATGAACTTTTCCCGCCGTTACAGATCGACAACCCTGCGTACAAAGGGCCCTGGGTGCACCCGGAGATCGACAACCCTGAATACACGCCGGACGCCAGCCTTTACAAGAGGAACGAGCTCTGTGCCGTCGGTCTGGACCTGTGGCAGGTGAAGTCGGGCACGATCTTCGACAACTTCCTCATCACCGACGACGTGGAGGCGGCTAAAGAGCGCGGCGAGGCGTTGAAGAAGACTCTGGAGGGCGAGAAGAAGATGAAGAACGAGCAGGACGAGGCCGAGAGGGAGAAGGAGAAGGCAGAGAAGCCCGACGATGAAGAAGATGATGAAGATCTGGACGATGAGGCTGGCGACGCCGCGCCGGTTGTGAGTATTTTAGTTTTGTTAGATTATAAATTTTTGCAGATGAATGAACAAAATTCGCGCCTAGACGCTTCACGAGCTTAGCTAAGCGGCCGATGACCTCACGGTGCGAAAATCTTGACATCTGTCTACACTCGTTCTATTGCATTTTTAACAATGCTTGGCGTGATATAATGTGCATACTTTACAAAATACAACACCTCACAAATAACTTTCAACGATAAATATTTGTAACGAGAGATGTTGCCATTGCTCTTAATTTTTTTTAAGATTAATTTTTATTTTTTGTGTTACTCGAGATGAAACTATAAAATATAAATTTTAGTAGATAAATTAACATTATTATATTTACATGTTTTATAAATTCCTTTTTACTGTGGCTTTGTCTTTTGGTTCTGTTAATTTTTAAGGGAAAGAACCCTGGTGGCTAATCCATAATTTAAGCACATCCGTTCTTAATTTCGTATTAATTCGTTGAAAAGTTAATCGCAAAAAGAACCAAGAAACTGCATATTAGCGTTGTCATTTTCTGTTTCTCTATGCATTTCTGAAGCCAAATTTAGAATTTTAGACTGTAATATATATATATCAATCACAAAAGCCACGAAATTCATATTATTCTTTGAAAAAGTTTGTACTACTTTTTTAATATTTTTGTGAAAAACTCGTTTGGTTTTTAATTGTTTAACAATGTTATTAATTTGACGTTCCTTTGTCCGCAGGAGGACCACGATGAGCTGTAAACTGCGCTAGTGTGTGTGTGCAAAAAGACAATGCGTACCGACAATGGGTATGCGCTAGTGTGCGTCACAGCATGATTCCATAGTGCGAAACGCTTAGGTTATCGCAGTTTTGTGTGTTACATCCAGTATCTCTTATTTATATACACATGGCACTTGTGTGGAAAGTCGAAATGTTACAGTGCGCCTGTTTTACCGCGTACTTGATTACTTCGGACATATCTGAAGCTGCTCGCCTTCAGATATGTCCGAAGTAATCAAGGAGGTGCGAGAGAGATGCCTGTACCTCTGTCGCACTCCAACGTGCGTACATCTTAATATGTACTGAGTAATGTACAGATGTGTATGTATATAATCGTAGGGCGCTCGTATTTTATCTGTTATTTAATATTATGTTGGCGGCACTGTGTGTCGTTGTGTTCGTTTTATAATGTTGGCCGAATGCTAGCTCTAGGTTTTTATCCTCCCATTGTTCGGCCGGTATTGTAGGGCGAGCACGGAAAAAATGAGTTCTCAATTTACGTTGTGAAATGAGTCTGATTAAAATTAATACGAATTTAATTTCTGTGTTTTATTTTCGGTTTAACCGTTAAGATATTAATGCAACTTGTCGGTGTTTTCTACGTTAATTGGTGGACAGTATTATTTATAATATCGCCATTTATATGTATAATTTGTAATTACAAATTATACATATAAAATTGATTAGAAATAAAACCGTTTAAAAACTTAAGTTGAACAGTTTTATTTTATGTTTTTTTTTTTGTTAAATTTTTTTTGTTAATATTGTATTGTCATCTAAATTAAATGTGTGTACCAAATTTCAGATCAATCTGACAACGGCAAGGTGCTTAAATTTCAATTTCTAATTTTGACCCAAACAAACAATTTCCGTACGGGTCGAGCTAAATAAAACCGTTTAAAAACGGGACCGAAGATTAATGGTAATTGTCAATGTATACTATCTTGTCATGGTACCTAAGTAAGTTGTATGTTCAGATGGTAAACGCACTAGCTCAGTAACAGTCTATTTTCTTATAAACATTTTGACGGATTTCATCATATGATTGAACGTCATACGGAATTACCGATCTAATGACTACTGTCGGATGTAAGATTGTTTTTTCATTTTATAATTTAATTGCCTTCAATTGTGACGTTTTTTTTTGAGAAAGTGGCAAAGAGCTGGCGTTTCGCCTGATGTTAAGTGATAACCGCCGTCCATAGAAATTTGCAACACCCGTAGGGTTGCAAATGCCACCTTTAAACAAAGTGGCCCCAGCTACACCTCAATAAAGTGGGCCCCGGCTACCTCAATAAAGTGGGCCCCGGCTACCTCAATAAAGTGGGCCCCGGCTACCTCAATAAAGTGGGCCCCGGCTACCTCAATAAAGTGGGCCCGGGCTACCTCACTCACCAAACTTATAGACATCTATTGTTGCATTATTACCAATGGAACTACGCATTATCTATGGCAACTGACAATAGCGTATATTCATCAATTTTGAATTTACGCTATTGTCAGTTGCCTAAATTCACCGCCTCTGGGCCGCTTTTACTAATCACCATATTTCAAAGATTTAACTTTGACAGATGCTATTGCATTCATTCGGTAAATTATTAAAGTTTAATCGAATGAGGAACTTGGCTATACATTAGTGAAGTACTACTGCTACACTCCTCTTCGGAATGACGTCTACCATTTGCGGAAGCATTTTTGACGGCCCGATTGGCATAGTGGACCTGTTTCTTTAGCCAAAGGGTGTGGATTCGATCCCAGCTACTGGAACTGTACTGTGTGTGATGAAAATATTGTCTTTCTAGCATCTGGGTGTTTATACATACATTATGTATTTATTTCAAAGAAAAAATATGTTTAATTATGTTTAACAGTTATCTAGTATCGATAGTACAAGCTGCGCATAGTTTGGGACTACATAACGTTGCGGGAAAATATGCCTTGAAATATTTATTTATTTTTAAAATCACCGCGCTTTTGAGGCAAGCGATGACTCGGTCCGATATATTTATCCGAGTAGTATAAGGCTTGGAGTAGACCTGTTTAGGAAAGGAGGGATTCCGTCGAAAGTCAAATTGCTCTGTAGGAATGAGGCCGTTGGTTTTGACACATCCTTAAGCCAATCGAACACGATAAGCTAATACAGCTACCACAAGCGATTGCCAGTCTCAATCGGGTGATGCTGTTGATCTGGTTGGGCGGTTGATTCGGCTGATAAGTATTGTTTCCTTCCAGACGTTCGTGCAGGAGTAACTGGAGAATACTCTCAGATAAACAGATAAATAGGTCTGGCAGGGATAGAGTTATTATATAGAGTTACTTATTTTGTGAGACTATTTTGCAACTTCATAAATTTATATCTTGTGGGCTTCAAGCACTGCTATAGAAATAATACGCCCGTATATTGTGAATAGCAGACGAGGTAGAGAAAAAGAACTAAATATTATTAGGGATTCGTTGTAACCTTAATACTTGCCGCTAGATGCTCGGGTAAGTGATCGTATGATTAATAGATAATGTTATTGGATTTTGGTGTTAGTCCTTACTAATACATAGTCTTTCCTTATAATAATAAATAAATAAATAAATAAATAAATATTTCGGACACATTTTTTACACAACATTCTCTAGTCCCAAACTAAGCAACGCTTGTACTATGGGTACTAGAAAACTGATAAACTGATATACTGAAACATACTTTTTTTTTGTAGATATATACATATTATACATATATAAACACCCAGACACTGGAAAAACACTATGTTCATCACACAATATGTTTCCAGTAGTGAGGATCGAACCCACACCCTCTGGCGCAAGAGGCAGGGTCACTACTCCTCACGCCAATTGGGTCGTCAATACATATAAGATACACGTTCTTTGTAAGGCTTTAAGAAAGGCGTTAGGGAAAGGTAAGAAGGTTACGGTGGTAGGGCCACGCAGCAGCCTCGGCTGTTGCACGAATGGGCAGGCTCGTCCGGGTAAGTACCACGACCTCACAAAAGACCGGGGTAAAGTGGAAGTATAATACTTTCGCGTTTCGTCTGGTGAGTGAGGTGACCGGGGCCCAATTTTCAAAAGGTTGTCAACGCATCTGGGACCCTCGGGTGTAGCAGATGTCTAAGGGCGGCGGCATTCACTTAACATCAGGTGAACCGTCTGCTCGCTTGCAAACTTTTCACATTAAAAAAAGGCTTAGTACCTGCATGAGTGATAACAATTGGCCAAGCCGCTTCGATGTCAAATAATCAATGCCGTAAAGCAATGAGGAAAAAAAATACCTTCATAAGTTTTATTATTCTAACTTTACACAAACGTTTTCATACATTCTTATTACGTATAGGTAAATAAAGTGGAAAGAAATTTCACATAATTTGCGACCATTTCATCCATAACTTCGTTGTTTCCGGAGTCGTGTGTCCACCAGTTGGGGCTCCAAAAAACTGATTAGCAACAAATTGTTACTTAAAATATTTAATTTAAAATTTTTCATAAGTGATAACACAAATATCGTAAAAACATAGGCGCCTTATGAGAAATAAAATATAATTTCAAGATATACCTATCTCTTATCCTTTAAACGAGCAATTCTTGTATATATATATATTAATCGGAATCTCGGAAACGGCTCCAGCAATTTTCATGAAATTTAGTATGTGCATAGTTTTGGGGGCGAAAAATCGATCTAGCTAGGTTTCATTTTTAGAAAATGTCCTTTTATCCTTGTTTTCAGGGAATGAAAAATATAATTCGAATATGACGGTAAATTTCGCCGCAAGAGAAAATGTCAAAATAGCTCGGTCGGTAATCGGGCGGCCCCCAAAACAGACGGCCGTGGTTCGCGTCACGATCATTTACACATTTATTTTTTTACTTTTTTTCGATTCCAGATCATTGCTTTCTTTATTTTTAATCTTTTGTCGATTTGTTATTTTGTTATGTTTTTCCCTTTTTTTTAAAGTTCTTTCTTTTGTGAAAAACATCAGTTCATATTTTCTTATTATTACGTCGGTAAGATCGAAAAATATTATGCATATTTCATTACTCAATAATTTGTATCTAAATGTAATTTCCAAAATACACGATTTACCAAAAAAAAAAAAAAACAAACCGAGCAAAGCTCGGTCTTCCGGGTACTTCCAATTATCCTACAAGGGGCTTACAGGTAAATACAATCATTCGAAATTTAATTATTTTATAATTATAAATACGCTATATTTGAGTAACTAATTTTTAAAATATAAGTAAAGTAGAATTTTAACTGCTGCTAATAAATATTCTTGCTATCTTCGAGACTGCTCCTTTATTCTTTCTTTTTATCAACTGAAAAAAAGTTATGTTGTCATTTTTTAAACTTGGCGCTTATAGTGATGCGGTCATTTCCTCAATACGAATCTAAATAAAGCTGCTAGCTTTATTTATATAGATACTTATAGCAATATATACTTCACAAAAGGGCAAAACATATTGCTTTGAAACGAATATTTTGGTGGTGACTCTATTTGAAGTTAAAATAGCAATGGTATAAAAAATTACCAGATTACGTTTTGAGGGAGTCGGGGTCTACTTTTTTATGGTTGGTATCGCCTGTGCGATATATATCAACCATCTGGTGCTGTAGACGTTCATCGGCGGCGGTAATCACTCAACACCAGCTTTCTACATTAAAAACTAAAAAAGCTACAATTACACATTCTTTGGAACTATTGAATTTTCAAAATTGAAATTGACACCGATAGATACTACTGTAAACCTGGTAAGGAAACAGGTACTTACATAAGTCTTCAATAACTGGAACAATAGGAAAGGAAAATTTTAAACATTAGTAATTTTAAGGTAAAATTTGAGAAGGACTTTCCCCTTCTAGTGAATGAGAAGGCGTTCGCCTTTATTAATATTTTGAGGCTATCACTAATTATAAAAAAAGCTCTTAAATGTGAACCAAGTTTATATCTTGAAAGGAAATACGTAGTTATAGTCTTCTCAAACATTATTAAACTTACTGTGTTATAAATCTTGTTTCTACGATAGAAAATATAATATATATGGATAAAAAATAGGAACTTTATGGATACAGTATTTTGTGTTTAAACAAACAATATTATAGAATTATATCATTAATTCGATCTCTTTTATACTCTGTGTAGATTTCTCAAATTGTAACTTTCCAAATAAAAATAATATGTTAATTATTTAATTTTTACTCACATTTCTCAAGACGCTTTAACTTCTCTTTTTTCTTATCCTTCTTGCTTTTCTCCTTATCTTTCTCTTCATCGTCATCGGGCTTTTTGCTTTTCTCTTCCTTTGGTTTTTTATACATTCCATGGCATGGCTCCGGTGCTGCTTCCACTAAACAGAGATTTCCGCATTAGTCTACTTGCTAAACTGTTCATGTTTCTTAATAACTCCCACGTATGATTTGATATTTTTAAATTCAGTGGCGTCTGATGACTCCGTGGCGCAGATGCCAAGGTATTGGCTTCGGCGTTGGGCTTCACAATCCGTCGGATGTCATGCGTTCGATTCCCACACGGGACAACTATTTGTGTGACCCACAGATAGTTGTTTCGCATCTGGCTGTTTCTCCACGTAAAATTTATGTTTGCAAAACGTCCTTAAAACACAGGATAATGTTGTCCTAAAGTAAGGGCAATTTTTTTAAAAACAAAATAATCAAAGATCAAGAGGCGATGCTGCGTGGCTCAACCACTGTGACCACCTACTGAAAAACTATAGCTTTTACGTGATGTGTTAAGAGGTTGGAACTCAAGTCTTGATTCGATTGAGTACTTTCGATCTTAGTGCCGTGTTATTCTCATTATTCATATCTCGTTTCATCACAATAACCTCATTATTCAAGTCCAAGTTATAACTTTAATTTTTTGACTTATCGCTCGTTACGGTCTAGAAATTTGGCGAAGTAGGGTCTAAAAATGCAAAATCAATTGACCGTCACAACACTTAAGTCAGGGTACGTGTGTATGTGTGTTTACATGCTTATGTATAGGTAATCGTTACAAGATTTTAATGCTAATGAAATGTAACATGTTAACATTCATGTAGAAATTTAAATATACATAATATTTTATCATAACCATTCTTTAAATAATGTTGCGAAAGGAATTTCTTTTCCAACAGATTACAATTCCAAGATCCATTTACAATTTTTTATATTTACATTGCTACATTTAAAGACATTTCTTACATTTAAATTTATGCAGTGTTTAATCTCTAAGTAAGAATGAGAGTTTAAAGTTCTGAAGCATAGACATTTCAATAAATAAGATTAAAAAGTATACTTAATTCTCTGTGTACCTTAGGTTCTCAGTGTGTGTGAAATCTCATCATTCGTTAGTGCTGCGTGTGTGTCGTATTTGCGTGTAGTTACTTTTAATCTTTATTTTGAAAAAGGTATTAAAATAGTTAAACAATAAAGAATTTAAAACTATGTACTTCAATATTTACCTTCGTTCTCCTGGACCAGTGTCAAAACCTGTAAAAGTAATAGTATAGTAAAGATCTCATTGGCATCCAGAGTTTGTAATATGACATAAATGTATAATATTGTCAACCAAATGAATGGGTAATGATATTATTAAGGTAAGGAGTAGGTAAGCTGTGTGTAGATTTCATGGTAGTAAGTAATTCATATAATTTTACCTGTAAAAATTATCTAGAAGCCGATGTTGTCACTAATAGCTATAAATTGTTTATTATTTTTGTAAATGTGCCAAACTGTTGTTACATAAAAAAGTAAATGCTGTCTTCATTAAAATCAGATATTTCTTTTGCTTTGCTTTCAGTAATGCTTCACAAGCAAGAAAACAACATTAGCTTCTTTTACAGGACCAATTACCTTTACAGGTAAAAAGTATTTTAATCATGGGATTTTTATCAATTAAATTTTCATAATTAGCTTAAGAAAACCTTTTGAGTAGTATTTCTTACTTGTTACAATCGAAAGAGCCGTGATAGCTCAGTGTCCGGGCGCTCGCCTTTAATTCAATATATACTCGAGCAACCTGAGTTCGATCCCCGGTGCCGGCACCAATGAAGTTTTTAACTTTAAGTGCTGACTTATCACGTGCTCCGCGGTGAAGGAAAACATCGTGAGGAAACCTGCATATTTTCGAAATCATAACAAAAAAAAAATGTATTTCGAAGATATGTGAAGTCCGCCAATCCGCAATGGAGCCGCGTGGTGGACTATGCCCTGATACCCTCTGTATAGAGGAGGCCTTTGCTCAGCAGTGGGACATGTATAGGCTGTTACTTTACTTTACTTTACAATCGAAAAAGTTCAAAAGGCTTACCAAAACAGTCACTAGCAACGCGACGAGTAAATTTGACTTTAACATGTTTCTCACAATTTTTAAAGATGTCGAAACAAATTTCGAATCCAGCCTTTTATACGGATCGCCGCCACGGTTCATTTCACGCTCGAATCCTTCTACAAAATATTCTGTTTTCTTCCCATTCTTATGACGTTGATGTTTCTCAGAACAATACATTTGTACAGCAGCGAAGATAATTCGCCTTTATTTTAATTTTATGTTGGAGGTTGTTAGCACGTGTCCATGTAACCTTTGAATCTCCAATTGCTTTTATTAGATACTATAAATCAAATCTTTTTCATCAAAACAAACAAACCCTCATAAATTCAGTTTACGTATGTTGAAGGAAATATAGAATTTATATCTCCTACAAAACATTTTAGAAAAAGGGGTAATATGTGAGTAATAAGTATCAATAATTATATTAGATAGTCGTATTGTTAAGCAAAAGCTTGTTGCCATTTAGTTTCGCCATTTGTCCATAGATGGCAGAAGAAGTAAAATGTTTCATACAAATGTTGTACCTAAAACAAACGTAGATGCATCAAGGGGTTGATTTCCTTGTTGATATAGATAAAGTTTGATGTAGTCTTTTCAGAGAAGTTGTTGTTATACACAAAAATAATGTTGCCCTGAAATAGGCTCTCACGTCTTTTCAACAGACTTAAAAAAAAAAAGATTCTTAATTCTGTTGTGTTCAGAATTCCGTTAATTATGAACAGATTTTAAAAATTCTATTGGCCATGCCATTTGAATATACATCAGGGAACTCCTTAAAATCAAATAGACAATCTATATGTGGTGGGTGAGATATTTGTAGTCGTTTCTTATTTTTTTTCGGTTAAGTTATACTTCTTTTGGCGCGTTTGGAAAAAATTATGAGAGTACAATTTTTACGATGAAATACGCGCGCACACACAGCGACATGATGAAGGTTGCAGAGCGATCAGCTTCGAACAACTTCACGGTATTATGGCCATGGCAACCAACTATAACTTTTCGACATTTACGTTTACCTATAGATAACTCCAAGTTAAAATCCACCTAAATTGTTATCAATTAAAATTAATATATTTTATAGTAGTCTTCATACATAAAGAGTAGCACAAAGGATAAAACTTTTCATTACTTTTCTTTTGTTACGCTAACGATATGTAACCTCTTACTTGCGTGGATAAGTACATATATATACTTTTGTCGTAAATAAAAATGTTGTAACCGTGATTGTGTAGAGATAGGCATCCAATGACAAGGAGTCTCTTTAGTTCCAGGTCTGTACGTCCGTACGTTCATTCTAAATGGGCGTTAGCTATTTGCGTGTAATAAAGCGTCAAACGGAAAACACGAAGTTCCATGTCACTGGCAGACTAAACCGATACTTTTGATTCAGCATTAGCGCCATTGTTGCCTCTTCGAGTTTATTGAGCATAATAAATATGCAGCATAAAAATAGCGAATAGCGACAGTGAAATGGAGACGTTTGTTTCGAAGTTTTCTTACGTTACATTAATCTAATTGAATAAATTTTAATTAAGAACATAAGTAAATTAACTCGTTTATCAGCTTCGTTCATCTGGTCGCACCCATGTTAGGCCCATATGCTCTCAAAGGGGGGACGTAAATTAAATTGGAAAACAATGGGGTGAGGTGGCAGCTGTAGTATCATTCTTCATTTTAAGCCCCCATTGATGGCTGCGGGGAGCGACGTTTGGTATATTGGTTGCAATAACTCTGTTGTCTGCTGCAGTAATGCAATAAACATTTCCCCTGAGCATTTGTCCCAACAACAATATTTTTAATAACATTTTATAAAATAGTACAATAAATGTTAAGGCCAGTAACGAGTGCGATATGATCGTTTAAGTTGTTATATTAAAAATTATGAATAGTCCGTAACGTCCGTATTTTTAATATCAAGTATCTTTCCTGGGCTACATTAGCCCTTTTGTGTTCACTGGGGTCCCGTGGCAGAGAGAGAGGACCAGTGGCATTTAGGAAGCGAAAAATCAAACACTGATGATCGTAGTTTTTGATCATTATGAAGATCATTCTGATCATTTCAATGAGTTCAACCATCCTTTTGGCAACTTAAATAACATTTGAAAATTAAAATATTAAAATATGTAGAAAAAGTGCGAAAAGATTGTCTCCGTTGTGGGAATCGAACCCACATCTTCGGCATTCGCGGCATGACGCTCTAGCCACTGAGCTAAACGGCTGATTGCCACACCGACGAAAATCTTAACGCATTCTTCTACATTGTTTTCTTGCAAAGATTAGCACTATAAACAATTTAAATTTCTAACATTTGAAAAGCCATTTGACAGCTGATTAGTTGACTTCTACGATAATCAGTGTTTCAGAAACCGGGCGTCAGTCTCGGGTGTGGCTTTGAATATGGATTTCTCTTGCACAAATTCATTCGAGCTCAATGACTCTTTAACATACAATTAATAACGGTGTGTGTGTTGTGTAGGTACTGTGATTTTTATTTGTTTGAAAAACAGCTTGTTTTTACTCAACTGTTCTTACCTACTATTTCAATTATTCAAATTCGAAAAGCTTACAACTTTGTTATTGAAAACTAAAATAAACTTTATAAATAATGTCACTGCGGCGCTCTAATGTACGCGACCTTTTTTACGATGCGACGTCAAAATCGATTTACGATTCTTATGGTATGCTTTTAGAAAATACAAGAAAGCATTGTCTTTTGACAATTAACTGTAATGCCCCCATGAGCGAATGAAGTATTTGGTTTTTTACTTCTTATTTTTCTAAAAAGTTTTTGCTTCGCTTCAATAACGAAGGTTACTTTGTCACGTTTTCTTTATTGCTTTTAGAACTTTGGTAAGTTTTATTATTTGTATAAAAGAGAATAGCACTTTGTATAATTACGTTTAATTTATGTTTTTTCCCTCGTGATAATGGAAACTAAATAACAAAGAAAAACAGTAGCACTGACTATATATTTTTATATTCGATTATAACTACCAAATTTTGCAAAAACAACTTTTTTATGTGAAAAGTTTGCAAACGAGCAGGCGGTTCACCTAATGTTAAGTGAATACCGCCGCTCATGGACATCTGCTATACCCGAGGGTTTGCATATGCGTTGACAACCTTTTTGGAAATTGGGCTCCGGCCACCTCACTCACCAGACGAAACCGCAAAAGTATTTGTCATACTTCCACTTTACGCCGTATGAAAAAAAAATCATATTCATCACTCTTCTAGCCTTGACTTTCATTCCTTCTCACAATGTGCCCATACCATGTCAACCTAATTTGCTCTCATGTGGTCCCATATTCATTTCATTGATCCAATACCTTTAGCTCGAGAGGCATATCAGAGAATTCTTCAAAATGAAATATACTGGAAGTAGGTTTTATTTTTTGAAAAAGTTGTGTTGACGGAATAGTCTTAACACTACGATCGTAATTCATCCGTAGCTAAGAACATTAAAACCATAGCAGTCTTGGAGAAAATATCGTAAAATTTATCGTAAAAAGTGAATTTAAGATGTCCCTAAATAGTTTTTTTTTACATAAACGTCTAAAACATCTGCGTTTAGGGTATCTCTCGTCACCGGATATTCGGGGTGCGTTGGGGTGAAATTCATACTATGTTGACATTTTGTTTTCTCACCCCCTATTAATGTGGTATAAAATTTACTTTTAGTTTAAGGCCAATAGAATTTGGACCTTACTGTGTTAAAGATAAGCATTGAGTTTGAGCCTTGGGACATGTTTTGTCATGCAACTTTGAGGGATGGCAAAGATAACAGTGTCCCCTAAGTCAAAATTGCTGTGTGATTAGAACAAATATAACAGTTCTTGATTAGGGAAATATTTTGTTCGGGCGGTATATGAAGGTCTATATTAGGCGGATGATTTAAAAAAAAGTTGATAGTCACAAAATTAACAAACTCAAGCATGTTACAAAAAAGTACAATTTTTCTAGTGTTAGTATGGAGAGCAGTAAAACATTTTTGTTATAAAAACACATTGACCAGCAATCCACAAATGTACTACCATTTCTATAAAAGTTAAGTAAAGTAACAACCTATACATGTCCCACTGCTGGGCAAAGGCCTCCTCTATACAGAGGATATCAGGCTATAGTCCACTACGCTGCCCCACTGCGGATTGGCGGACTTCACTTTTTTTTATTTCGAAAATATATTCTTTTCCTCACGATGTTTTCCTTCGCGTGTTAAGTTAGCACTTAAAATCAACAATTTCATAGGTGCCGGCACCGGGGATCGAACTCGCTCGAGTATATTGAATTAAAGGCGAGCGCCCGGACACTGAGGTATCACGGCCCTACATCTTACATTTTTATACTTTATTAATATTTATTTTAGTTTATATTATATTACGCGTACGATACAAAATGAGATTAATCTATGTTATAACAACACCATACCTCACTATGCATTTTAAGTATAAAAGGTGTCTCAGTTTTAAATTTAGCAACTATAGATCACTACAAGTTTTGGCTCAAATGGAGCAATCGCTAAGCTATTGCTACGGCGCTAAGGGTCGTGGGTTAGAGCCTTGAAATATATTTGTATACTACATAAAACACCTTTATGACACAGAATCACGTTGTCATGCACTAATGAAAGTGTTTAATTAAATAAAGGAACTAATAATATCATCACTTAGAGAAAACCGTAATTCTTTGCAGTTAATTTACAAGTTTTATTAGCGTTCCTTTTTCACTATCTTTTGTGTTGGCAACATTAAAAGAAGTCGTTCCTTGAGGTCGTTGGCAACACTAAAAGAAGTGTCATCCTATGAGGTATAAATGCAGCTGCACGAAGCATTTCATGGTCTTCGTCGCCTTCGTCTTAGTCGTCGCCTTCTTTGGCTGTCAAACCAGAAGTATACACGATAGTGCTGCCCAATCGGTATCATAAATTAAATCGTTAGAGTGGTGTTTAATTAGTGATATTAAAGTGGTAAAATAAGTAATTATACCAGTGTTATTATTGTGCAAAGTGAAACTACGGTGATTTG